AAAAATTTTAAATTCCTATAATATTTGGCATTTACTAACAATTTCAGACTGATAACTCAATTGAATAACACAAGAGACTCCTCAGAGCCAATTGGGAATCGCATTTACCATACTAGTCCAAAGTGGAGAGCACCCAGGGAAAAGAAGAAATAAAGAAAGCTCTACATACCAAACCCTGGAGCTCCTTAGGAACCTTAGCAATATTCTCCACATTCCCAACAGCATTCGCCACCGACGCAAACAGCGGCTCGGTAACCATGGCCATGGCATTCTTATTCTCATCCAACGCCTGAACCACATGAACCACTCCCGGATGCCTCAGCCTCACCAACCGCCCCGCATCAGCTCGAATCAGATCCAAAAACGAATCCTCGACAGACTTCGACAACCCAACGCGAGCCCTAGCCTCCGACAGAATCTTCTTATCCAAAACCCATACGCAAACAGTGGGATATTGCTGAGGCCGCGAAGAATCACGAGCCTTCGCAGAATACAACTTCCAAGCCATGCCAGGACCAGCGGAGCCGATCTGATCGAGAAGCTCGTAATCCTGAAGGGGCTTGGGTCCGGTGACCTCCTGGACGGTGGTATGAACAGTTTTCTCGATCACCGCAGCGGTCTTGGCTAAGGCTTGGGTGAGGGTTTTCATATTCAACGCCATTTTTGTTCGTCTTCACCGACAAGTAGAAGTTAAACCAGTAAAAATGTCGAAGAATTGTGGATGAAGACGATGATTTGGAGGAATGGAAGAGGGATTTGGGATGGGATTCGAAGGAGAAGGAGGAATTTGGGAATTTGGATCAAAGAATCAGTGTTTGGGGTTCTTCCATTTCTCTGTCCAAGTAGCAAGGTTTGGTTTCCTTGATTAGTCTGCTTAGTTCATCAATTCGCTGTCTACTGTTATAAGAATATATACATACATATATATATATATATATCTTAAATTTTTCAATAATAATAAAAAAAATAAAAAATAAAAAATATTATTAATTTAAGATATAACCATTATTATTTTATCTCAAAAATATATTTAAAATTTTAAAAAATACTCTTTTAATTTCAAAAATATATAAATATTTTTTTATTTTTTTTTTAAAAATTGAAAGATATTAATAAGAATTTAATTATTATTATTATTTAAGAAATATATTAAATTAAAAAAAATACTCTTTTAATTTCAAAAATATATAAATAGAAATTTAATATCACATTTGTAAATTTTTTTAAATAATATTAAAAAATTAATTTTTTTAATATAAGTTATGAATATTAAAACTAGTAAAAATATTTTTGTAATATTAATAAAATTATTGTTATTATTATTATTATTATTATTACCCTAAGATTATACTTTCAAATTTCAAGCTAAATTTTATTTTTATTTTTAGAAAAAATAGTTATTAAAAAATTGATTTTGTTTTTACTATAAATTCATACGTTTTGAAATTCGAAAATAATCACTCTTGAAAAAACTAAATAAATAATTATCTTCTTCTGTTTCCTCGAAGCTTCTGTTACAAGCTCCACCGAAGCTCTCTGATTCTTCAGGCCCGTCTACGCCGTAAAGTTCAGGGTAAGTTTTTCGCCTTTTGTTTTGTAAATTTCGTTCTTCAGGAAAATTTCTGGATTTTTCTTTTGATGTTTGGTTTATGTTCCTTGGTTTTACATCTGATCAAGGTTCCGAATATGAACAACATCAAATTAGGCGTTGATATAGTTCCTGGAATTTAATCGGAGAATTAGATTTCACATGTTTTTGTTTTGTTTTTCCTTTGGTTGTTGAACGAGTTCGTTCCAGTTTTGCATTATCGGCTGTGAAATTGAATTGGTATTAGGAAAGATCAATCGGTAGGACTGCTTGCCAAATCAAAATCTCTCAATTATCTTGGAATGTCGTACTTTCATTTCGAGGCTATATAAAGTCATGTACATTGTATTTGTAAGTAACTTGAAAAATAAGTAAAAAAAGCATTTGTGCTCTTCTTTAGCCAATGACTAAGTTTCTTTGCAATTTTATGTAGTTTAGGTTGCATGTAGAATCATTCAAGCTCGACATGATCAATCTTGCTTGTGGAGTGATTCGAATCTCAATCAAGTGTTCTTGCCTTGAGATATTTGATCAACAAGAATCATTCAAGCTAAACATGATCGATCTTACTAGTGGAGTGATTCGAATCTCAATCAAGTGTTCTTGCCCTGAGATATTTGATCAACAAGAATCATTCAAGCTAAACATGATCGATCTTGCTCGTGGAGTGATTCAAATCTCAATCAAGTGTTCTTGCCCTGAGATATTTGATCAACAAGAATCATTCAAGCTAAACATAATCGATCTTGCTTGTAGAGTGATTCGAATCTCAATCAAGTGTTTTTGTCTTGAGATATTTGATCAACAAGAATCATTCAAGCTAGACATGATCGATCTTGCTTGTAGTGTGATTAAATCTCAAACAAGTATTCTTGCTTTAAGATATTCGATCAACAAGGTAATCCGAATCTTACGCCCCTCTTGTGGTGATTTCATATCAGAAGGAATCAATAATATTGGTATTTGTGATTATGAGTGCTCATATACTAATGATATACCTAATATGAATATTAATACCCCATATATCAATAATATACCTGAAATATATATGATATGATATACCGTTGATATATGTGAAAGTCTAGGAGAGCAAAATATGAATAACTAAAAAACCAAAATGTAACGACTCTATTGTTCTACTATGATAAAGTTGTGTTACCGTTCGTATGACATGAACTTTGCATATAGAATTATTCATTTAAAATAATTCATAAATGACACAATGGACATAAACGTTTAATGTATAACGTTTAAGAAAACACAAAAACATTTAAGATGAAAATGAGAAACGACGTAAGGAAATTAAAATAATGTTCTATTCTAACCTAAGACTATAAAAAGATAAAATACATCTACCCTAATACAGGTTTCATGGTCTTCAACGCGTCGCCACTGTCATCCGTACATGGGCGTCTTGCCTTTGACTGAAATATAAGAGTAGCACATGACTTGAGTATTTTAAAAAATACTCAATAAGTGACCCCACTGTTAGAGTAGGAAAATGCAAACACATGGAGCGACCTATCATTTAAAACATCATTTCATGGCCTTAGGCGACTTTCTAGTCTAGGCAAGGTTGGATGTGTAGTACTCTTCTACACGTGACTCAGACATGCGAGTATGGATCTACCAAACGAGTTTGCACACCCCTTAGGCTTGGCTCATCGGGCTAGCACTCACTAACGAGCTGTGTTGGACATTGTGGAGGAAAAGCGGTTGTTGTGACATCATGACATATAAATTTTTTTGGTGTTTTTTCTAGCCCAATTCAAGAGATTTATAACGAAATTGATGTAATTTTGACGAAAAGTGAATTTGGAAATTGACTTACCGAAATGGTCTCAAAAGAGTAACTTTAGTTCTTGTGGAGTTGAATATGTGATATACCGAGCGCGGATGGTATACGTCTTGTACGAGCCGATGTATTTATAGATTTAATTTCCAAAAACTAAAAAAATAAAATAATATACCCACATTGTTTGTTTGGAGAAGTAATACCAAGAGCCTATTTTCAGCTATAGAGGAATCCTTCTTGGTCGCTAGATTTAAAATTAGATGTAGTGTTTATAATGTGACTTATACCACTAAAAATCGCCGAGCTTGATAATGCGAGCTTGTAACTCAAATGGGGGCATTAAAGTGGGTTGAAGGTTGGCTCAACCCAACGAGTAGGGTATTGGAGTGAATATGTGGCCCGTCCATTTTAAGTAAGGAGTTAGGTTGTTGTCCTGAGGGGTAGCTGCGCTTAGAGGCAAGGAAACCGCGTGACGCTGGCTTCACAGAACAACGTAACCTTTTGCTCCTATCGGTTGGAGGGATTGCGGGCCGATTCTCCACATCCCAACGTACTTGGTGGGTAGTCCTCAACTCAACAGCCACTTTTTTTTTTAACCTATCTCGACCATTCTTTAAATGCACCTATCCTTGAGTCCCAGCGATCTCGCGACTCTAACCCATTTAAATTATTTGGAAATATTTGGGCTTCTCCAACAAGTTTTTCATTTAACAAGTTTTAAAGTGAAAATTAATTTCTTCTAAAAAGAATTTAAATTATACACCTAATGGTGTTCATATGATCCAAGATCCAAAATCATAAAAATTGGGTTGGGTTAGATTTTTTTTTTTTTTTTTTCCGATTTGGGTTAAGTTAAAATTTTGAAAATTTTAAAACTGAGATCAGTTTTTGAGATTATTACGCGTTTACGTGAGGTCTCACATCGGTTGGAGAGGGGAACGAAGCATTCCCTCTCCCTAACAACCGCGTTTTAAAATTGTGAGACTGACAACGATATGTAACGAATCAAAGTGGACAATATCTGCTAGTAATGAGCTTGAGTTGTTACAAATTGTATCAGAACCAGACACCGAGCGATGTGCCAGCAGAACGAAACATTTCTTATAAGGGTATAGAAACCTCTTCCTAGCCTACTTCCTAGCCTACGAGTTTTAAAATCATGGGCTTAAGCTATTACCATTTATAACCGATATTAGTGATACACTGTGATTTGTAAATATTTGGCAGTTGAGAAAAGCATGGAACAAATCAACATGGAACAAATCACTCTACCAGCAAAATCCATACTTTATAATCGTAAATGTAATCTAAAGTAAATAAAAAGTCTTAAAATAAGTTAATGAAATACAATATCTCTAAATTACTCTAAATTGTAATTCACTCAAAATTTATAATATGAAACTTCATTATTCATGAATGTAGCCTGAATTGAAATATCTTTTGATAATTTCAACAATGCTTTCATCACATCTTCGTTGAAGTATATTGTATAATTGATGTCTCTTTGATTCATATCTGTTTTATAAGAAATGACAACTCAATCCAAACCCTACCTAAAATTTGAGTTATTCGAAAAAATTTCTACCTAAAAGGAAAGAAGGAAATTAGAAAGAGAAAAAAAAAAGATAGAAGCCAATATCTGAATTTAATTACTTTACACACAGCTGATGCTGAAGCATCTTGTAGTGGTACAGAACATACATTGGAACCTGTAGAATATTACATCTTTTATATACATATATATAGAGTGACACTATTGCTTTCACACTATCTGCATCTGTTGTTCTGGGAAGAATCCTCAACTCATGCTCATTGCAGGCCATGGGTTTATCCCAGCAGAAGGGAGAGCGGGTCGAACAATCGGAACACGCCTCACAACCGAAAAGGCTTCATTAAGATGAGCAGCTCGACTCATGAATGGAGATCCCTTCTGCAAGTAATAGTTAGTTCATGGGGTCAAAGAATATCATCTCGACTTCGAAAAGACATCGAAAACTAAGCTACTATAAAGTTCCAAAAGAAACCTACGAATAAATCCCCTAACTATGAATCTCCAAAAAAAAGTTCACAGCATGTGAACTAATTGAGTATTGAAATTTATTCAAACTTTGAGATCCCACTTTGGTTGAAGAGTAGAACGCACATTCTTTATAAGGGTGTGGAAACCTCTCCCTAGCAGACGCGTTTTAAAATCCTTGAGGGGAAGCCCGAAAGGGAAAGCCTAAAGAGGACAATATCTGCTAGCAGTGAGCTTGGACCATTACAAATGATATCAGAGCCAAACACCAGGTATTGTGTCAGCGAAGAGGTTCAGCCAGTAAGGACACGAGGCAGTGTGCCAGTAAGGACGCTGAACCCGAAATGGGTGGATTGGGGGGGACCCACATCGATTAGAGGAAGGAACGAGTGCCAACAAGGACGCTGAGCCCCGAGAGGGGGTGGATTGTGAAATCCCACTTTGATTGAGGAGGAGAATGCACATTCTTTATAAGGGTGTAGAAACCTCCCCTATCAGATGCATTTTAAAAACCTTGAGGGATTTTAAAAAGCTTGAGGGAAAGCCTAAAGAGGACAATATCTATTAGCAATGGGTTTGGCCGTTACACACATTGTGGCACATCAACGAGGAGGAATTGGAGCTGGCAACGGACAGTTCGATGCCCAATCACCGAGCCTGCCGATCCAAACAACCAATCACCACTCACTTAAGCAAACAACGAACCCCGGTGACACTCTATTCAACTTGATTCACATATATCACTATAAAGAACCACAAATATGCAGCATAATAAACCCAAAGAGCAACAACTTTCACAATTTCTTCAAGGTGTAGCAATCAGAACTATGAAAAAAATGCAGCATCATATCACAGAGAACAAAAACAGTATTATCAGGCAAAAGAACAGGAACAAGAACAGGAACAAGTTCGAACAGTAACAAAAGTTCAGCATCAAATCTCTTATGTATATAAATTCTTGTTGAGTTTACCTTCTCATCCAGGATAACTTTCAGGTTCAAGCTCTGGGTCTTCCTCTTCATTCTGTAGAGCCTCCTTCCAAGAATAATGAAGCCCATCACAGCAGCTGCTACAGAGAATGACCAGACAGGGCTTGCCTTAAACAAGCAGTACTTCAATACCTCTAATGGAACCTTCCACCAAACTACTTTCCTCTTATCCCCAACCTCACTGCCAGATTCATCATTGGCTTTCGTTTCTTCAATTTGGATGTTCTTCTTCTCCTCCAAATTGCGTAAATCCTTGCTTTGGGATTGAGTTTCATCAAATTCTTCAAAAGCTAATTCAATTTTGGTATCATGAGACTCTAAACTCTCCAATTTCTGAATCCTACCACTCAATTCATCATCACCTTGCAGAAACTCTGCAATTCCAGATTCAGTTTTCGAATCGATTTCGTTAAATTTACGCTCATCCGACCTATCACTACCAGAATCGGACCATGATTCAGCCGAGATAACCGGACCATACCGATTCTCCGAACTCGGATCGATCCAACTAGGATTATCCGATTCAACAGAGCCTTCCTCTTCGCTAAGATCACGCTCAGGAACAGTCTTCTCTCGCCGTCCCTGATTATCAAGAGAGAAATAGTCGGATTTAATTATGCTATCGGAATCGGACTCACCTTCAATTCCCCCAAAATGAGTCGATTTCTCCCCGGAAAACTTCGCCGCAGTTTGGGCGGTTTCAGCGTTTGAATCATGGAGCAGCACCTCCCAATCCTGAAACTCAGCTTCCACTGCTCCTTCCATGACAGCCAACACTGAAATTCCTCAATCCACAAACTGAACTGAAAAAGAAAAAATCACAAGAAACAACTTATACAACATGAAGCAGCCAAAACAGAACAGAAACCGAACGAAAAGTAGTCAAAAGAAGATCCAACCCACTGGAGAATTTCAGATAACCGATGAACACACGAAACGAAATCTAACCTAACTTCCCTACAGAATATAAAAAATTCAGAGGCGGAGATGAGATTTTTGAGGATTAAAGGGAAGTGCGAATGGGGAGAGAGGCGTAAGGGAAGCAATGTGGAGATGAGAACAGAGGATTTGTGGAGAATTTGGATATGGCGTATTGGGTTTGATTGAATTTGACACTTTGAGGTGCAAATAAGGGGTGGTGGAGATAAAGACAATGGAAAGGAAATGGAAGAACGGATTGGGTTTGGATAAACTTACTGGCGGTGTCCGAAGTAACCGAAACAGTCCAATTGGGTTTCGAAATTATCTTAATTGGTCGGGATAAAATATGTACTTATATTTAATATTTTAAATTCTTTTATTTGAGTAGTTTCCGTCATTTATTTAATATTTTAATTTTTTTTACTTTCATTAATTTTGAAAAATTATATTATGCACGTGTCATATGCTTGATATGTGTGAAATTTAAGGTCGCTACTATATACATATCATGAACATTGAATGCGAAAAGATTCATTTAAATTTGATAAAACCTAACATTTGTCTTAAAACACAGCCATGGACTAACGTGTTTCGAAAACACCTTACAACGACACAACAAAAGCTAAATAAAAACATCTTATTCTAGCAAGTCTAGGAAAATAAATACCACTACCATATGCATAGTCTCGAATTGTGATATCGTCGTTAGCCGTACAGGAATGTCTTACTTTAACCTGAAAAATGTAGTAGAGTATTTGAAGAAATACTTCTTTTGGGGGTTAAATGCAAGAACATGCGAATGCAATGACGGAACCTGTCCTTTCAATCTATTTTCCTACGCTACTGTCATAACGGGTAACTTGGATGTGTACCATATACTCTACACACAGCCCATACGTGCGAGTATGGACTCACCAGTCAGTTCGCTCACTGCTATGACACTTTTCTTGTCGGGCGAGCATAATCTGGGAGCTCCTTATGCCAGACACCCGTTAGAATTGGTAGCGCCCCGACAGCATTATGTAAAATAAAATGATCGTACCCCTGCCGGCAACATTATGTAAAACATAATGATCGTATCCCTGCCCAATAGGGGTTTATGCGTGAGCACACATAATGCATGAGGTTCCAATATTTTTCTATTTTTGACATTATTAAATATAACCCCGCTCTCGTTTTACATTCATATCATATTTTTTCTCATTTTTCAATTCTAATATCATACATTTATCATGATATCATATCATTCATAACATGTATATATATAATTTAAAAAACATAACATAACACTTCATGTTTTTAACATGTCATTTTATAACATGCAATTCGTACAACAATTACCTCAATGGTCACACAAAACAATCTAAACATAACATATCATATCACAATATATCGTATCATAAATATGTCATATCGTAAACACTTCGTGGTCATATCGTTTCCTAACTTATCATAGCCTTAATATTCTTATACCTATTACAGTCATATCATTACGTGAACGTACCTTAGTCATATCATCACAGGAACAGATTCTAACGCTATCGTTCTATCAATCTATCACAAACCTCACTTTCTACCCATAACCTAATTGTATTCTTTCATCAATCTCTCCTATCCATAACACTTCGGTATGTAACCTAACCTTAACGTTTCATGAACGTATCTTACTCCTATCGTTACATTTCTTTTTGTGCATTCTTCTCGTATCCTATCTCAAACATATCATTGAAAACATCATACCGTAATTATTATCATAAAACTCACATACTATAACATATAAGAAGCATTTCGATCCACAGACAATTCACACATATCAATATATATGACACATGCAGAACCACGAGGCACGTGTCAACATCAAATATAATCATGTCGATAGTAAGACCACTTACCTGATTAGCTTAGGTTGATGTCACGAAGTTATCCCATAACATCAGTTTCAAGTTCAAACTTCTCCAAAATTATTTCTCTAATTTATATTCGTCCATATGTTATACTTCATGTTAGAGTCTTTGTATGAGTTAAGTCTCGAAATATTTATATATGTTTGTTATAGTATTATTTTCATACCAACCATTTAATACTCTTCAATATTTTCCAGATATTATATTTTCTCTTACGGTGTTTAATACCCTTTAACATTCTTATTAGCGTTGTTTCTGTATTTTCTTTGTTACATAAATCCCTATTGTTTAGTTAAATCTTTCCTATTTGTTGTTAGAGTGATCCCTATTTATTAAGATTAAGTCACACATACTTTCTCTCTCGTTTAGTTCGTTATTTGACTTTTTTTTATTCCGTCCACGATGTAATCACCATTGTCAAAAGTCAACATTTTATCTTTCTTTTATCTCTGTTAACAAGAACGGAACGGAATAGAGGGGAATTAATCTTTCTTCCTCTTTGACAGTTTCATCAGGGAGAGTCAATTCATTAGCTAATGAACCCATTTACCGAGTCTTTGAATAAAGAGGCCCGAAGCAATGAGACCCTAAAGGAAAGGACAGAAAGAAGATGTTTAAAGAAAGAATAAATAGGGACAAGTTATTGAGCTAAGGAAAATGTTGCGGTTTTCCCTTGTTCAATGACCTAAAAGGAGAGGAGTGAAAGTAGGTTCCGGTGATTGAGCTGATCATCCTGAGTGAAAGCAGGTTCCGGTGATTGAGCTGATCATCCTGCTGCTACATTATATTCTTTTTTAATTTAATCCATTAATTGGATTATTCTTTACTCTAATTCATATAAGATTATTGACAACCTAAATAATTGCAACAATTCACCGATCTAAAATATCATTGGATATGATACGTGCATTAATATAATATAATATGTTGAAGGATATATTATGTGCATGATATGACATAAGACGATGTACGATATGAATGATATAATATGATATGTTGAAAGACAAGAATGCAAATAATTTTTTTTGAAAATTAAATTGAATCAAATTCATTAACTATCGAAATTTTTTATTGGTTCGGATTGGATCAACCTAACCTAGCCCGTATTGTTCGGATTGGATTACGAACTTATTTGGATTGAGTTTTTATTGGGGTGTTCTAAAAATTCGATCAACCTAACCTAGCCCGTATTGTTCGGATTGGATTACGAACTTATTGGATTGAGTTTGGTTCAAATAAATGAAAATTTTATAATTTGGGTTGGTTATCGGGTCATCTAAACCTAGATTAGGTTGAACCGAACCAACCCGAATTTATTGTTAATTTTAAAATATACATTTACGTCTATAGGTACATATAGGTTCGTACAACTTCTGGGTGTGTTTATGCCCTAAATTATTAATTCATGGGCGTTGGACAATTGTAGCATTAAAAATTAAAATACGGTAATAAGGCTGCCTTTTGAATTTACCGAGTAAAAATGATTCAATTGATTCGTGTACCATTAACCAACATGAAACTCTTTCATCTAATGAGCCCCTTACGATTATCTTGAATTTTTAACTCTATCGTCGTCTCCCTCAACTATACTTGTAATTGAATGCTCGGATTACATGGGTTCACTTCAATCTTGGTCGAACTATAAAGGTTATTAAATTGCCTGGTAGGGGTGTACAGTCAACTCGACAACCCGGACCAATCCAACCCGAACTATAAATGTTTGGTTGGGTTGGATTAACATTTCGAGTAGGGTTGGATTCATTTTACTGAACCCGAACTAAATCGGTTTAGTTTCAGGTTCATTGGTAAAACCTTCAAGTTGACTCGAGCCAAATAAAAATATATAAATGAGTTAAGGACGTTCAAATTTTTAATTTCTTTTTTTTGTTTATATTATTTTTCTATTTTGTTATTTTTAATTTCTTATATATATTTATACATTTTGTATAATTTTTTTTATATTATTTTATTATTTTTAATTTATTTATTTAGTTTCTTTTATATACATATATTTTAAAAATACATTAATATTTCAGACCATTTTTAAAATACTTTAGAATAAATTAACCTATAATTATTAATAAATTTTATACATATAATTCTTAAACATAGATTTTATATATATATATAATTTTAAATTATAATATATTTATTATTTATTTGTTGCAACATTATTATAATATTATTTATATTTTTTTTAATAGTTTAAGATAAGTATAAATAAACATATTTCAATTAAAATATTTATATATATATTTTTTTTTATTATATACGATACTTTTAAACTAATCATTTTTATTATTTACTTAATTTCATGATATATCTTTGTATTTTCGTTATTTTAAATAATATTTAAAAAATGTCGGTACTTAATTGTCTTTAATTTTATGATAATGTTGAACTATGTTTTTTTTAATTTATTATTATTATTTTTTGTCAATAATTATAGATCGAATTTGTATTTATTTGTAAACTTTTATTATATTTTAGAATATATGCGAATAATTATAAATTGTGATAAATAAAACTTAAAAAAAAAAAATTGACAACCCCTAACCCGAAAATAGAGAGTTGGGTTGGGTTGGGTTAGGTCGGGTTGTGAAAATTTTTGGGTTGGGTTGGGTTACCAATCCAACCAACCCGAACTTTTGAGTTGGGTCGAAAAAATCCTTCAACCCGACCCAACCCGAACCATGTACACCCCTATTGTCTGGTACAATTTTTATTTTTCTTTTTTATTTACTAGTCATAATTTCCCTCGTATTTGTAGGCCCAAACCATTGGCCCCAATCCATCACAAAGCCCAGCCCAATCAACTCCCCTCCTATTCTTTTCACGGCCGTTTCCCCTGTATTCTTGCTTCAACACTGCCACGGCCGCCGTCGCTCTCCGGCCTTTCAATCTTCTTCCTCGCTCCATCTTCAGGTACTCTTTCTCATTCTCATCCTCATTCTCCATCTCTGTTTTTCAAAAGCTTCAAACCTCTTTTAGATTGTCGTAATTTGTAGTGATTATATTCCTTACCCTAAGAAACTCAATCGAGAAAACGAAACCGACTGTTTCGGTTGAAATTCCATTTTTTCTATTCGGTTGTTGCTAAGACGAGGGTGACAGAGGCCAAGACGGTTTGACTTTGTGAAGCGGCTGCAAGTTCTCTGTATTGGACGTCACCGCCGGCTTGAGCTCCAGTTAGTGGGTTTGTCGTTAAACGCCAATGGTGGGTTTTCTTGTCTTTGTTGAGAATTGTTGGGAGGGAGTTCCACGTCGGTTAATTTAGGAAATGATCATGGGTTTATAAGGAAGGAATACATCTGTTATGAGG